AAAAAAATACAAAGTTAGTATTTTTATTTGCACCTTTCCTCAAAAGAAAGACAGCAAACTACTATACAGCAAGCAAGCTAGTGACAAGAACATGTCATCTTTTCATTCATCAGTGCCATTGTTCACCTTTATCTCCAAAAGCCCTTCAACTAGCTGTCTGCAAATTGGGCATCGATTGGTCTGGAACCTCAGGACCTTTGCACAGCCACTGCACATACACTACAACATAAACAAACCAAAAATGATTACCAGAGTTCTTCGAGATAGAAACTTTGATGTGATGCTTTTGATGCCTGTAGCTCTTGAGATCTAATTTACCTTGATAACGGTTAAAATAAACATAATTAACCTAAACTCCTGATAAGATCAATTTACCTTGACAACTGTTCAAGCAAACTTAATTAACCGAGACCTGATGAAACATTCAGGAAATTAAAGTCAGAATGATCATATTGAATCAGTTACAAGGCACCTCTTCCTACCATTATTAAATTTACCAGCCACTTGTATTATCAATTAAGGACTGAATGGGTCAAAGAACACAATGGTTGTGTCCTCTCAGGGGATTCGAAAACATGATGAAGGCAGAGTCAGCGCTGTGATTGGCTATTTGACAGTAACCATATGCTAGACACAAGCTTTTATCAATTCATTCCATTTTATTCATGGTCTAGTCTAGGTAACAATAGCAGTCTTACCACAATATTTATTAAATAAGTTTAAAAATGGAAGGAAAGGATAGGGAGAAAAGAACAAGAGATAGTAATTACCATGTGCCTGCAGGGAAGGACAGTTGTATCCCGTGGTTCTGAAAGGCAAATAACACATTCTTTCCCCGGATCATTAGCATCAACATCATAATCACCATCATGATCAACGGAATTCCCAATTCCATAAATTTCCTGGAGCTCATACCTCGTCCCATGTACCCAGAGAATCTGTTTCACTACTTTCAGCTGGTATTCACCTTTCTCCTTCTCAAACACAGCCAGAGTTATCTGAGAATTTGTGGCTCCTGTTACTGGGTTCCCTTCTGAACTATGGTTGACAGGGGATGCCTCTGCCTTAACTGCTAGAGGATAAATATCCACTTCACCACCCTCTTTCAGTAGCTCTGACTCCTCAAACATGGAGAAGTCAATCCCTGTTCCAGAGGGCTGTCTGAACTTCTGGCCAAGGCCTTGCTCAAAATGCATTGTCACTGGTGTTAAATAATTTACCTTCATTGGAGTAAGGTTACACTCATTGCCTTCTTTTGCAAAGAAAATAACAGTGATGCTGTTTGCAGAGTGAAGAAAGTAAAATAATACTGAATGGGAATATCAAACACATACACATTAAACACATAAAAGGACAGGAAGTAAACTTAAAACTGCAACCTATGATGTTCAGAAGCTGAAGCCTGAATGGGCATATCAATCATATATACCACCAAATAGAAGTATATTCAACTTTCCAAAGGACAATGAAAAGCTTGTTCCAAAAGACTGCATTTTACAACAGATCATTTGATACTCAACAAGTGTAAATATAAGAAACAATGTACAGTTAATGTCTTAATGTAAACATAATCATGATACTGATGAGAAGACAACACCAAAAGGGGAGTATATTAAATATGGGAAAAGAGAAAATCAAAATTCAAGACGTCCTGGCATTCAAAATGCTAGGATGTCTAATCACAACCATCAAACATGTGGAACATAGTGCGGGCCCTAACTTTATTAAATTTATCATGTGGTTATTATTAGACGTCCTGGATTTTGAAATGCTAGGATGTCCTGATTTTTCCTTTTTCCATTAGATATATATTTAATGATCATTATAGGAACCTCTCATGATGCAATGGTCACCACCCAAGTGCTATTGAACTTCAAAAGTATTTTTTTTTTATACATCTTTTCTTGGCCTAATTATTTTCATTTTGAAGGGATAATCTTCGCAACCTTTAAAGTTTAAACAGAAGGAGATCTAAATTCCTAATTCTAGCATTGCTGCCTTTCCAAATCAACTACAACTCATATATCTGACCTAGAAGTCAGATTGGGAATAAGTGTCTTCAAGGTGACGACTATCACATAATGTTTTAGTCTTATTTGCATCACTCATATTAACATTTCCATATCAACTAACCAAAATTTCAACAAGCCTTCACCTCTAGCACAGCAAGATCAAATAGCACATGCTGGCTTTTCTTTTTCCTTTTTGATGCAACTTTTGCTTGAAGGAGATTCAACGAAAAGAGTACTTATCATCCCTTTAAACAAAGCACCACCTCATGAAGACAAGGCAACTGCAGAACCCTCCAAGCAAGGTTCAAAACCACTAACTGTTACAGAGCAACCCCAATTGTACTTCCCCTTAAGGTGATGCATTGCAAATGGATTTCTTGTTAAGGGTAAACATCTAACATGTGATGAATTCTTTAAATACTTGTTTATACTAATTTAAAATATTCAACAAAATGATAAAATAAAATAAAACATGAACTCACACCCAAAAAAAATAGATAACTGAATATAAGCTAAGCCTTTATAGCACAAAACAAAATTAAAAACAGAGCTTCTTTTTAGTTTCGTACCTCCCAGCAGTAGTAGCATCAAACGTGAAAGTAACCAAGAACTTGCCCGGATTCTCCTTATCCGGCTCCAATCTCAAAGTTTCCTTCTTTACGTTAACGCCGTTACGTATGGTAACCGCATTCTGATGCTCAACGAAAGGCGCTGGCTGCCGCATCATTGGCCCACACGTGTACTGCGCCCAATTGGGGTGATGGAGATCATAGGGCACTGGAAGTGGGACTGGCATCGTCGGTGGCGGAGGCCGGTAGTATCCAGGGTAAGGGTAGTACTGTGGTTGTGGAAGGTTAGGGTTAGGGTACTGCGTCGGGTAAGGCCTGGCGGCCGCATACACGTAATGATTGCCTGAAATTTCAGGTTGCGGCGGAGCAGGAGGCGGGTGGCTCCCGTGACTCCCGTGCCTCCGGCGACCACCGTTGATGCTAGTGCTTCCGATGTTCCCCATGGATCCTGGACCCCTTCTTCGGAATTAACGGAAGCCCTCGATTTAGAGAACCGAATTCCGCCCTTTTCCGATTGTCAGAACCGAAACGGATGGATCCTTATGCAGCAAGGAATGAAATTCCAATTCTCTTTCTACACGAGTAGAAACGGAAGGAAAATCAAGGGACAGGGAATTCCTTTCCTTGCTTTCCTTTCCCCTTCGTGAAAGGTAAGAGAGAAGAGATAAAGGGAAAATCTAGTTGGATCTTGCAATGCTCCGCCACCATTGATGGTG